ACTAAACTCACTTACTCATTCTTGTCCTCATAAGCAAGTTTATACATCTAACATTTTTAATTATACAAGTTCGTGACAAGTGATTTGGACGGAATTCATATACTTCTCCAAGGAAGATCAACATTAAACAATTACTGAATCGCTTACGACATCCGCTCAAATTTATTACGCTTTATTACACTGAATTACCTCCCTTTCCAGTTATTATACGGGAAATGATGCAAGGGTAAAAATGAGCAAATTATTTTTCTCTTTCATTTTACCCTAACTTATGCAGCTGCGTATAGGACTCAAATGGACCCGTATACACTTTGATATTTCATCGGTGATGAGGATGTACTATGTACAGACTGTATGTTTCTCGTGATGCCGGGCGGTCAGGGAGCCTTGTGGTAAAAGCGTTCGCTCGTCACGCCGAAGTGAGTGAGTGAGTTTAGTTTTACGCCTCTTTTAGCAATATACCAACAATATCACGGCGGGGGACACCAGAAATGGGTTTCACAAATTTTACCCATGTGGGGAATGGAACCCGGATCCTCGACGTAACGAGCGAATGCTTTAGCCACGAGTCTACCCCACCTCCCCATCACGCCGAAGACCCGGGTTCGATTCCTTACACGGGTAAAAAGTATGAAACCCATTTCTGGTGTCCCCTGCCGTGATACTGCTAGAATATTGCTAAAAGCGGCATAAAACTAGACCACTCATTCACTCTCGTTAAGTCGAACTCCTTTGAGGACTTAAACTGCCGATGCTCAGAACAGATGAAATGTGAACACATTCCGAAAAGCAGTGGGTTTTTTCTTCGACCAGAAATACAATAAATGTAAAACAACCCACACAATCTAAGTAACATTAAGTGGCATTTTAGAAGTTGGGTGAGTGAGTTTAGTTTTACGCCGCACTCAGCAATATTCCAACTATATGGCGGCTGTCTGGACCAGACAATCCAGTGAGCATCGATATGCGCAATTGGGAACCGATGACATGTGTCAGAGTCAGCGGGCTAGACCACCCGATCCCGTTAGTCGCCTCTTACGACAAGCATGGGTTACTGAAGATCAGTATTCTAACCCCGACCTTCACGGGTTTAGAAGTTCGGATGTACTCTGTTTACAAGCAGCTTGACAACGGTACAAGAATCGAAACGTCGCACTCATGATATAAAAGAAGTCGTTTATGTTTGTCAGTACTGTGTTTAGTGTTTACATGTTGATATTGAAACAGGTTTTAAAACACAATAATAAAACATGCTGAATTTTTTTCTTAATTTGAGATGAGTTACGACGAATCCATGTATATTTAATAAGCTTATAGCTATTAGGAAAATAATATGACCCTCTTCGTCTAGAGTCTCTCATACCTTCCTGTGTCGGTGAGGCAGCCTAGTGGTTAAAGCATTCGCTCGTCACGCTGAAGACCGGGTTCGATTCCCTACATGGCCACTTATGGTGTTCCCCACTTTGATATTGCTGGAATATTGCTAAAAGATGCATAAAAGCATACTCACTCACTCATTCACTCACTCATACCGCCATGTTGTTGTATGGACTCAATTTGTCCTTTTGAGATCACGCCATAGACCCGGGTTCGAATCCCCACATGGGTACAACGTGTGAAGCTCATTTCTGGTGTCCCCCGCCGTGATGTTGCTGGAATATTGCTAAAAGCGGCGTAAAACCAAACTCAGTCAGTCCTTTTGAGAAACCGTTCTTCTCTTATTGACGCGGACGTAAAATAGTTTCCTTAATATAGAGATTAACCACAAACTTTTAAAAAAACACCCAATAAACAAACATTCAATATTTATTCACGCACAATTTCGCACTGTCATGCATGGTGAAGTTAAAGCTGAAAACAATATACATTGATCTGTATTCAAAACATGATCTTTTATACATAATTTGAGAAAACAAGACAAGCAGCATATAGAAAATATCACAGTTTCGCTTATATAAACATCTGGCACAATCTCTCATCAACGATTAAAATACTGACCGTGTGTACAATTAACTCCGCATGTGACGAACTTGGCATGTGACGAATGGGGCCTGCAAAATAACACTCATGGGTTCTGGCAATTGCTTTGATTTGAAGTTACATTACGATTCTTCTTTCCATTCTTTCTTTGATATAATCTCATTAATCAGATCTTTCCCTCCGCTTCAAGGGGCGATGGGGTGGCCTACTGGATAAAGCGTTTGCTCGTCATGCCGAAGACCCGGGTTCGATTTTCCACATGGGTACAATGTGTGAAAACCATTTCTGGTGTCCCCCGCTGTGACATTGCTGGAATATTGTTAAAGTGGCGTAGAACCATACTGACTCACTCACTCTTTCTTAACGAATTTGGAAGGTTGTACAACTTGTTTAAAACTGAATGCAGTACGTTTTATGTGCATACATTTCATTGCTCACGCGCTCACCTCCGCTTCAAAACCTCCCAACATAGGCCGCGAGGGTGAAGCCGTACTTTAGAACAGTGTTTGCCCTTAACCCTGAACAGCTGCAGGCCCTGGGGATCCAGAACCATATACATTTGTGGGTCCTGGTCAGAATGGAAGTAATTCCCAGCAAAAAAGGCCATAACGTTGGAGTGACGTTAAAGTTACAGAAAGTTAGGCCAAAAGTCGTTGGTCTGAGTGGTTTTCAGTTGGCTTCGGGCTTAAGGACCGACGTTAATTTCGAACGCTGCTTTAGAGGCACCCTTCTTCGTAATATCAGTCGTTTCATTTTGCGAAAAGGTTTAGCTTATAGCTGTCAAATTGTATCAAAATACTCAGGTAAGACTTGGAATATTTGATTATTTGAACACATATGTCTCCCTTACTTATTTCTCCCCTTCGTAAAATTGTCACAAATACACACGAGTATCTTAAGTGTATGGAAATAAACGTTCACGATTTGTTTTTCGGTACATCAGTTAAAGGGAGACAAATCTTTCATACCTGGTTTTTCACACCTTTTAATGGCGCATTGACGTTTTTAAAACAAAATCATTTGTTCTTGCACGCTCTGCTGGAACACTTGGATTCATCGCGCCAAAGGTCTGGGTTCGATTCCCATGAAAGGGCAAAAGTAACTATACGTCTAAGTTGATTTTATCTTATGTGGTTTTTAATTGACGAAATCTTCCGTTAGCGATATTATATAAAAGAAACTGTACTGGTGCTAGTCACCACTTAAAGGATACCTGATATGGTTATATTTACAAGATATAATTTGGTTTGAAATATTAAAAGATTCAGATGAGAAGTTGCATAAAACACAACAATTGCTGGGTAGGTGTCATGATATGTAAAGTACATTTCTTATCCTTGGCGGCACTTTTCACAAATTGTTGCAGGAATAATTGACGGTTAAATAGACGTAATCAAATTCAAGAAGGGTTCTTTTCCAATTTTCCCAATTCAGGTGTTGCATCCATATTGGGAATCGAAACCAGATCTTTGGCGAGACGAGCTAACACTTTTTACCATTATGCTACCGTACCACGCCGTGTTTGAAGGCTACTCGTAAGATTTACATACTCAGAGTCTGGTCTGCGGATCCATACACAACTAAGGTACGCAACTCTATATAACGTACAGCGTCTGAGACGACCAGGCCATGGCGATCTTAGAGAAAGGCTATCATGATGAAGACAGAGCAGTCTCTTGCGTTAACCCCTCCTCTACCCTCCCATTCCAAGCTCAAGACCCTGTTAACCCATTTACAGTCATTGGACACCCTTAAAAAGGCGGGTTAATCTATTTCGGGCTTGTACATATTAACCAGAATGGGGCCCTGTTCAATCATGTCTGATCATCAGGATCTTTGGTATTTGGGCAAGATAAACCTAGATTAACTGCGCTGTGATTATGCTGCCGCCATTGAAGAGATTGAACATGGCCTGTACATGGTTGTCACGAGACGTAACACGCCTACGCCTTTACTAACGAAAATGTACGATTTAATTTGGACGAAATTGTCGTTCGGTAACGAATGAGACAGTCAAATGAATTTACTGCATGACTTTCCAGTACTGGCGGTATTCGATAATCGACACATTTGTACTAAATAAAATAACATCTTAATCTTGCTTTCTAAAAGTTTGCAAAAGACCGCTGAATAGGATTTTAAAAAGTCCAGTCTTTGAATATAGACAATCATCGAGTCACACAAAGTGATTGGCAGATCTAGATTAGCACGAATCTTAAATACTTTACAATGAAATTACCCTCCTTAAAATCTTAGCAATACATCTTGATCAAATAACATTTTTTTAAAAGACTTGCAACAATGTATATTTTGTGACTAGCAGTTTCGATTTTTCCAAATATGAAAATCCGAATTTATTACATCTTTAAACAATTTGCATTTTTACGATAAAGTAATTGAAACAAAAGCAAAGCAACGAGAAAATAACAACGGTCATTTTGAGTTTGAAAAAACCCTTAAAGTTATAAAATATTTTGACATTTCCGAAAATAAAATTGCTGAAACATAATTGTGGTACAAAAGCGGCACTCCACTTCAAGTTAGAAGCCTTATTAAGTCTGTTATGGCAGCAAGAATATGTACCAATTACCAATCTTACGTTTAACGATTAATCAGGAAGTGATTCACTGAACAAGCGTAAATTCATCAATACTCATAGATCATTGGCCAAGTTACACCCCCTGTGTAATACAAAATATATGGTGGCCCCATCAGGCACGACTCAATACCTTCACGAAATAAGCCGCGTGGACCCGAGAGGACCCTAAGGGGATCATGACTTGACCCGACTTGACCCGAATGGTCCATGTTCACAAACGGTACAAATATGCCTAACGTTTCAGGAGCTCTTCCTCAGTGCGAAAAACTAACTCTATCCTGACTGGGAATAGGGTTCGTTAGTAGGTCACGGCACATCGCGAGACCTTAGTACTGCCGGTGACAAACAACGCTTCATACCTGTTCAACTTGTCTCATGGTTGTCAATGGTTGACAGTATGGAACAAACGGCTGTGACAGTCAAACATGGGTTGTACACTTGGTCCGATCTAGTAAAGTTATATTTGGCGTTCGCGCAATTTGTAACCAGAACTAATTCTTGAAGATACGCTTGTCACCAGGAATCTGGTACCGTAAGTAAGCTCGCATGTCGCACGTTAGCGAGCGCAAAGGGAGCCGGGAACCAGCTTAGTACCGGAAGTAGCGCCTCGCGTGACTGACAGGCGCTATAACATTTCTGCGGTAACTCTTTCGACCCAGGTACAATGTAATAATTCAGTTTTGAGGGAGGACTTTTTTCACTGTCTGGCAGCCAGGTCTACATATATCTAGACGTTGTAATGGATGCCGTGCGTGAAAGTGAGACTATGTGTAATAAAGACAATACCATTCGCCTGCTGAATTGGTCAAGATCTTAAGACTTGGTTAAGCATGATTTAGAAAGAATAAAGTTGAACTTGGTCAGATTGTCAGTTATTTCTACATCCTCTATGTGTAATAAAGACAATACCATTCAACAACTGAATTGGTCAAGATCTTAAGTCTTGGTTGAGCAGGATTTAGAAAGGATAAAGGTAAACTTGGTCAGATTGTCAATTATTCCTACTACCTCTTTAAGACGCCACGTTTCTTCTGTCACTTCGGCTTCTTTTAAGGGACTTAGACGTGAGTGATAAAGCCATTCTAACTTGTGACAGCCACGTTTTGTCTTTAAAGGAGTTCGCTATAGACATGGACTCAAGCGCACGCTCACGTGCTGTGCCTCCCTTCATGCGCGTGACGAGGTTGATAACGGGGAAGATGAAGTCCTCCTCTCTCATGCCGTTGAGGTAGAAAAATGGCCGCTGGTCCACTTCCGTACTGACAAGGGGAAGTGGTATGGTTCCTTCCGTTGACTTAGCTTTTGAAAGCAGGACGGTGGACGACATTCGGTTTTTCTTCTTGCGTTTCTTGCCGTCTGAGAGGTCGTCTGGTTTCAGAACTTCATCAGTGACACTGGACGCTGACGTGACCGACAGCTCAGTGGCCATTTTGCTTTTTGTTTCACTCCGCTCAGAGTTGAGAACATGGACATTTGGCATAGAACTGGACAGTTTGCTTCCCTTTGTCTGCAAGAAATATGCTCCCTTGCCCTTCAATAACCGTCCGATACCCCCCAACTTCTCAACCTTGTCCCTGGCAGAATCATTGTCAGATTTGAGTGATTTTTGATCATCCTTACAAGCAGACATTAGGTTAGACTGTGAGAGACTAGGAATCTTCAATGGTCGTGCTTTTTCTTTAATTGGAGGGAGTTTAACTTCTTCCGCCGCTATACTTCCGGTGGGAGTTTCTCTTTTCATCGTCTCCGGTGTCATCGTTATCGGTGAGCGTGACGACAACGATTTCTCTTCAACGTCACTGCAGCCGTCTTTGTGGAAGGCCTTACTGGCACGCGATACTGTTTCCTTGACCTTCACTCTGTCTGCAAGCTTCCCCCATTTGGTCTTCTTCTCGGCTAAAGATTTTAAAGCCGCCATTGCTCCAAGTTGCCTGAAGTAGACTTCAGGGTCACCAGCATCTATGGTGGTGTCATAATCAATATGATAGCCATGTTTTTCCTTTTCTTTGAGAATCTGAGCCTTCGGTTTCCCTGTCATCGGACTGGGAGAGAACCCGTCGACTGACACGCCATGGCCGACCAAAGGCCCGGATGTAAATAATTTTCGTTTAAGGGAAGATTTAGAATGTCCATATTTGATGAAAACTTTTTCCTTCGCAGCGTCACACCACTGCTTTATTTTGGTATAGATCGCAAGGTTTAAAGATATATCCTTCTTGAAGGTAAGCTTACTCCATTGTTTTGTCAATATGAAGGACGCACAATTCTTCACTTTCTTTCTGAGAGCTATATTCAAGGGAGCTAACCCATTGCCATCTTTTGCCATGAGGCATGTGATGTCATGATTTACAAACATTCTCAGTGCCCCAAGTTGACCCATCTCCGTGGCCTCGTGCACCGGCGTTTTCAGACTGTCGATGTGCGAGAGGTTGCTACACCACTGCCGTTGTGGATGCTCCCCAATCGGCTCGTCACACCGGACGCCGTACCTCAACATGCATCGAGCCAGATCCACGTTACCACAGTGAGCAGCCACAAAGAGCGCAACCTTCATCTGGAAGCGACCGATGACGTCATCATGGGCGATCTGGGCGACGACTTGAGGCGTGAAGCCGAGGGCGCAAAGATTGAGAAACTCGTTCCAGCCGTCCCAGTTGTCGAGTTTGATGGTGTGGCCGGTGTCCACGCCGTAGTCCTCGAGACGGTGACCATCGTACATTTCCTTGCCGTCCGTTGTGGTCAACCTGAAGATGCTGACCGGGAGCCCAGATCTTTTCGCTGCTAGTGATCTGCAAGTTGTATAGAGATATTAGCCAAGTGTGTTCCTGGGGCTCGTCTCACAAAGGTATCGTCGTACTACGACTGTCGTTTCCCCTATACTGTAACGTAGACCTACGACAGACGTAGCGCTACGATAGCTATGTGAAGCGGGGCCCTGGATCGTAATGAGAATCGTATTTTAAGAATTGAAAACATATGATGCAATCCTTTCCGAAACAAAATCCATATTACGTACAGCTTGTCCGTCTTGACCTGATCAAGTGAATACTAATGTATTGCGTGACCGTGTCACAACTGGTTGGGTCTATTTTTGTGAAGGGGTGTACCTTTGTCGCCGTTTGACATCTCAGTGTCGAGAAATCGTCAGCAATGCCCTAACAACTGGGACAGAAATATTGCAGTTGAACGTGAAATAGAAAAAGTGATAATTGAACTGGGAGTAGAGAGTGATAGCGAGAGTGGATCGGATTGTGTAAGTAATTGACGTCTACACTTAGTAAAGTTATCAAACCAAAATAGATAGCATATGACTGTATAAACAATTCAATTGAAACATGAAATGATTGTTTTTGTCAGAGGGGTTGTTGTCCGGGACAGGTTCTGTAACGAATCCATGTATGCATGCTTCGCACGAACGCAACGTTAATAACATTCTCTTCTCCCCTATTTAATGAAGTTAACTCGACCAGCCGTTTGTGCCATTTGACCTCCCGGGTCATGCATATGTAGAGTAGCTCAGGTCAAGCTGAACAAGCCGAAGTAAAGAAGGTGGCGTTTTGTCAACATGTGCGCAATGTTTGTGACTTGCAAGTCACAATTAAAACACTTTTCAAAATATTTATTTTTGTTTGGAAAATGATACCAAACCTCCAGGTGTGTACTCTTGTTGTACGTCAGTTTACATAATCGAAAATATCTTCTCAAAAGAAAATGCGAATATATTCTATTATAATGGGAATTCTATTTCTAACAATATTATCGTTCATAATATATATCGCGAACAGAAAGTGTTTCGTGCGACACACTGGCGATCGGAATTCATATATGAATTTTACATACATCATCGTAAGTGTAACTTTGCAACGGAAATATATGCCTTTTGAGAGCATAATACATATGTTTAGTTCTGATATATAGCATTTTCGACAAGGGAAAACAATAATTGTCAAACTCAGTTTGAAATTTGAGCAAAACTCAAGTTTCTTTCGAAAAATCGAATCCTGATCACTCGATCACTTGATCACTCATTCGACTATCGACGCTTACCTGAGCTCCTCAATAGGTGTCTGGCCGATGGTGAGAGTGTCGACCACGTGGATGGTTTCGTTGTTGTGGGAGCAGTTGATGAACAGCACAGGCTTCACCTCCTCCTTCAGCTGGATCCTTACAGTCGTCCCTGGGACTATGCCCAGGTCGGAGAACATCCAGTCGTCCCCGAGATCCGCCCCAGCATACGTCAACACCAGGATCTTCTTATCATGACGATACACATCCATAGGGATGTTCAGCCTCTCCTGAATCATCTGCTTCAACTCACGCACCGAACACGTGGTCGGGACGTCCAAGGTCACGCGGTCTCCCTCATAGAGGCCGAAAATCAACATCGTCGGAGGCGGTTTTGTAAGTGATGGAGTTGATGATTTAGATACCTTGCGCACTCGATCCCTAGTGGACGGCCTTCTCAAATGGTCAACAGAGTCCATTGACCTTTGATCTGAGTCGCCACACTCATCAGTTAACGATGTTTAGTAGACGTGATGAGACGTTCAGCTGATGCAGACGTATTGTCACCAGAAATGTCAAGACACGTCAACAGTCAGGCGACACAGCGGATGAAGACGTTTGCAGTAGTTGCGGGGTTAATGTCGTCCACGTGATCACTTCCAGTTTTAATCAGCACCTACAAGAGAAAACAGTGAAATGTTCAGGACTTCATCTTCCACATATATAGTCCGAGATCTCACAACCAAAGAAGGAACCGATAACGTAATATATTCCATTTCGGAAACAACCCGCCTTGTTGTGACACCACGATTCTTTATTGGCATTGAAACATCAACATAGCCTTAGTACTGTAAGTATATCCTCTCAGTTTCACCTTTTAGTTGTAGCCCTAAGCGAAGGAATCTGAAGCATGGCCTCCAAAACATTCGTTATTGGTCCTCTTCTCGAAAGCACACTTATAGTCAGGTAGAATATTGTTGACGAACTCTAACTCCAACCCTCAACATACTGTTACATGTCACCAGTCAACATCTCGCGGTTGTTGTATCAACATGCCAGTTTACCAACACTATACACATCAATAACAAAATATGACGCTATTAGCTGTACAAACACCGTCACGACTAACGACATCCCCTTTTTGTCCAAACCTACCAGACCACAGTCTCCCAGCCGTCTGTTACAACCATGAACGGTCAGCCGCTGGGCCAAGGTCTTTCCATAATACCCCGTGTCAGACTGGCCTCTATTCACATTCATACGAAGCGGAAAATCGGGGTGTTACTTGTGTTGTGTAGGTATTGTCAAACAATGCGCCGGCCACACAGACCTGATAGCCAGACAATAAATGAAAGGGTATTATATTTGAATTAATATGTGATTAATAGTTGTGCTGAAGGAATGTAGTAAATACTCTTTATTTATTGTATTATGATAAGCTTCTATGAGAGTTCATGAATACAACTGTTTAGATATGTTTGTATGTAACTGTGTGATGACCTCATTTGCCGTTACAGGAACTTGGTTCTCTTTGTTCTGGTCTAAATGATGTGTATGCGGGAAAAACAACATACAAGTGTTGTCAGCGTGTATTTCATGTTAAAAATGCCTTTAAAATGCTTGAACAAGAAATGAAATATTTTTGTAAAAGTAAATAACAAACGTAAATAACAAAAATAAGCATATCTAGATTAATTTACTCAGTTAAACGAAATACGAACATAAGATGAGAAACGAGTATAATGTGATTAAAACAAACAAAACATAGGACTTGTGTGTTTCTAAAATATAGATTAGAACGTCATGGCTTTATAAAGGCAACATTATAGTTTAACTACACATGCATTCAATTAAAATATACAATATGTAAACATTTGTGTGGAATGTAAACACTACAAGACATGTTTAGATCCAATACATCTTTGGTGTGATCTCTCACGGATGGGGTCTCAATAAATGAAATGTGGTACCATCTCACAGTCATACCAAACAATAACAGTCATACCAAACTAGTGTTGGGAATTGGTTAAAATCTCATAATTGATGACTGGTTCATTACTACCGATCAATCATCGAAAATAATTGGTTAGCATCATTTATGAAATTTGTTAATGCACATAAAAATAAGGTAAAAAACAAGTAGTTCTTTTGGCAAAATTTCACATCATTAAGGATGACTAGTATGTTAGGAACATAAATTTCTTGGAATCTTTAAGATAAATTCAATCGTCACTTGAAACGAGCTTGTAGTGCTTACGAAATGTAACAGACAAAACCAACCATGTGAAAAATATTGTTAATGAAAACAAGTGTTCCAGAATTGGTTGTGTTCGATTATGAGAATTGTGATCGATTGCTTGGTCGTTTAGTCACTACGACCAATTTCGATTATTTCAATTAATTGGACCACCACTATACCAAACATATACATAGTCTATAAACAGTGATAAAATAAACATGGGTGTTTCCCATATTCAAACACACAACACCTTAAGCTGTAAAACACAACCCTAAACTTGATTAGATCTTAAACAGTGTTATACACAGTGTTATACAGGTTTTACACCCTAAACTTGATTAGATCTTAAACAGTGTTATACAGGTTTACATGCTAAACTTGATTAGATCTTAAAACAGTGTTATACAGGTTTACATGCTAAACTTGATTAGATCTTAAACAGTGTTATACAGGTTTACACCCTAAACTTGATTAGATCTTAAACAGTGTTATACAGGTTTACATGCTAAACCTGATTAGATCTTAAAGAGTGTTATACAGGTTTACATGCTAAACCTGATTAGATCTTTAAACAGTGTTATACAGGTTTACACCCTAAACTTGATTAGATCTTTAAACAGTGTTATACAGGTTTTACATGCTAAACTTAATTAGATCTTAAACAGTGTTAAACAGGTTTACATGCTAAACTTGATTAGATCTTAAACAGTGTTATACAGGTTTACATGCTAAACTTGATTAGATCTTAAACAGTGTTATACAGGTTTACATGCTAAACTTGATTAGATCTTAAACAGTGTTATACAGGTTTACATGCTAAACTTGATTAGATCTTAAACAGTGTTATACAGGTTTACACCCTAAACTTGATTAGATCTTAAACAGTGTTATACAGGTTTACATGCTAAGGTTTACATGCTAAACTTGATTAGATCTTAAACAGTGTTATACAGGTTTACACCCTAAACTTTTAGATCTTAAACAGTGTTATACAGGTTTACATGCTAAACTTGATTAGATCTTAAACAGTGTTATACAGGTTTACATGCTAAAACTTGATTAGATCTTAAACAGTGTTATACAGGTTTACATGCTAAACTTGATTAGATCTTAAACAGTGTTATACAGGTTTACACGCTAAACTTGATTAGATCTTAAACAGTGTTATACAGGTTTAAACTTCTAAACTTGATTAAACAGATCTTAAACAGTAAACTCTGATTAGATCTTACAGTGTTATACATTTTAAACTTGATTAGATCTTAAACAGTGTTATACAGGTTTACACGCTAAACTTGATTAGATCTTAAACAGTGTTATACAGGTTTACATGCTGATTAGATCTTAAACAGTGTTATACAGGTTTACATGCTAAACCTGATTAGACCCAAAAGCGTCCACACTGTGGGACCCCTTGTCCCATAATCCCAGTCGCTCAGGCTTGTGTTTAGGATCAGGGGAAAGGAAAAGGAAGCGATCTGGTTCAAATTAACATGTACTCACTAAGAAGAAAGTTCATGTAATACAGAAATTAATATTTAATATTATATAATAAGTTGTATGTTTCTCTCGAGGGTAATGCGGTCTGATGTACGCCTCTTTGTAGCAGCATCACCCGAGCCGGTAGGCGATGGATGACACTGCTACAAAAAGGCATACATCAGACCGTATTAACCGAGGGAGAAGCATACAACCTATTTATCTTACCGCCATGTTAAATGTACAAAATATCGTTTTATTTTATTTTAAAGATCGATACAAACTATATATGACACGTCATCAATTTGACGTCTGCCTCTCGACTGTATTTCTAATAATGTGTTCAGTGAAACATATTCTGGCAAGCTTAAAACTGCTATAAAAGTGGTTAATTATGTTTAAGTTGAGTGTGGAAACGACTCAATGTATTAAAATAGTTTAAATAAAGCAGTGAAAGTCGGGAAAATAAATCTGTACATTGTGAACTCAAAAACAGCTAAACGAACGATTTTCGAACTCCGCGCACTGCATACTTCATATTATGACGTGATACGATTGTTAGCGATACCAGCTTCTCGGCGGAGAGTTTGGCGGTTACCGTGGCAGCGGGTAATATTTTTCGAGTTGTCGTCCTCCTGGGAGGGGTGACACGGAAACTTGTTAAAGTTTTTGACCAATGAAATTAAAGTATTTCACATGAAGGTAAGATATATAACCCAAGGAGATGATTGATTAAAACTTTTGTGTAAATTAACTGTACTCCCATACAACGGCATCAATACTGTCTCAAGACAAGCGCTATTTTTATGTTCTAATAAACACACAAATTAAATGACAGCAAATTAAAATCTTTTCTGATGTTATGATATTTACAGCGATAAATTTGAATTTATATTTATCACTTTCACTTGTGTTATATTTTATGGTTTATGGTTCGTTAAAAACAAAAATTTCTAATTTCAATATCAGTCTCAAACTCATAACGAAAGACAATATTCTGTATCTACGAATTCTAATGTTGACAAAGATTAACTGATATAGAAGTGAAAGGGCCACAAGAACATTCATTCATTGTTCAGTCGAAAAAACCCGTTGATTTATTTTCTAATAATGTCAATTTCACCGACCAACGCCGACCCCCTGTCGGGCCCCGAGACTAATCAGGTGTGTGGTAAGCTGGTTTGAGATTCTTACAGTAACCGCCCTGAGACTGAACCTCAGTGTAAAGCCGGTTGTGTTATTAACTGTTTGAATGGTGGTTTAATCAAGAGGCTAGCAAATCACCAGAGGCATTCCAGTCGTAGTCATGGTCATAAGCAATTGTTTTCATTTAAAAAATATTAACTAAGTATTTCTACAAATGTATTACTTGAGTAACATTTGTATTTTAACTGTGTGGTTAGTGTATCAAATGTCACTGAATCCTTGCAAGTTACATCATATTTCACGTGAATCTTTCGCTTGCATGCATTGGACTTCATGTAAAGTCAGATACATATATATTCGAATTGATATTTCGAACTTAAAATGATCCAATTTGCGACCGACGATATACCGTGATATCTTTCCTAATAATTTGAAATAGGTATCCTCAATATTAAAAACAATATATGTCCATTTAGTACCATATATCAAGTTCATAGTTGTAGAAACGCTTTGAAGTCTGTCCATTCCGGTGTAAATTGCACAAAGTCTTTTTAAACTCGCATTCCTGTTGTGGAAGTGTAAGATTTGGAATAGGACAGTCTAATTCATTTTGTACTTTTTTATGAAATTTAAAAAATAATTAAAAGATTTGCTTGCATAAAAAATAGAAGTGGATTGAATGTGACAATACGTAAAATCATGTTATTGTGAGAGATCGACGATACTATTCAAGTAATCAAACCATATATATGACGCAAACAGGGTGAATATTTATACCCTTGTCTTTTGGGAGGAAATATGCAGGCGTTCCA